GAGCTGGAGGCGTTCCTGCGTACTTCAGTATTGGGTGCTGCAGTGGAGGTGCCACAAAAATTTTACCCTAACAGAGACTTTCGGGCCCGGCGCACCCAAGTGGGGGAGTCGCCCGTGGAACAGTCTGTTGCTACCCAGCGAGTGAGTCTGACAGGCTTCCAGGGTATCTGCTGGAGGTGCGGCAAGAAGGGGCACCGCCGGAGTGACTGCCCGAGGGGACGGCGGACGCGTTCCCTAGAAAGGAAACCAATTTCTGCCTTCCAGCCATGCTGTGCGAGCTGTGGGCGTTACGGCCATTTCTCAGTTGCCTGCACTGCCTCTAAAGACATGCAGGTGGGAAACGAGGAGGGGCTGGATGCAGGGGCCAACAGCCAGCCCATGCTCATTGGGTCCTACACAGTGTAATCTGTCGCTGTGCAGCCGCTCCAACGGTCCATATAAGAGGAACCGTGGATGGGAAGCTATGTCAAATGATAGTGGATACGGGCGCTGAGAAAACCATCATGCGCCCCGATGTGTTAAATGCGAGAGACTATCATGAGAAACCAAGACAACTCTGTGGGGTCATGGGGCACTGTATGCCACTCAGGGGACCAGTTGAGGCACGACTCGGTGTGGGTGGCAGTGAGGAGGTACTGCCTGTGTATGTCGCCGAGATGGAGGACCCTTGTCTCTTGGGAATCAACTACCTTATGCAGGTTGGAGCATGTATCGACTTGAAGAAACGGAAGCTAAGGATACGAGAAAAAGAAGTGCCATTGTCTCTCGGCGTCGCTCCAGCAGAGGTAGTGATGGCTGAGTGTGTGCGTATTGCCTCGGACACAGAGCCTAAAGTGACCTTTGAGTTGTCTGGGAAGTTAGAAAATCATGACCGAATGACCGAGTCCATAGAACCATTGGAGCAGGCAGACGACAGCGAGGAGGTAACCTTTCAGAAAAGACTACCTGGAAATGAGGTGGTGGTTAATGATGTTTCCCTTCCTGATCACCTGACTGATCTGGCACGGAGGAGTGCCATACATCTTGACCATCAGCAGCAAGAGAGGTTAAGAAGCACCCTGACGAGGTATGCTGATGTGTTCAGCAAGGTGACCTCGACCTGGGCCGTACAGGACTTGTTCAGCATCACATTAGGACAGGAGATGCTCTGCCTATTAAACATGCCCCTCGGATAATTGCACCAGCCCGGCGTGAGGAGATGCAGCATTCTGTGATGGAGATGGAGGCACAAGGGGTAATTGAGCGGTCTGACAGTCCATGGTCATCTCCTGTCGTATTAGTGACCAAGAAAGACGGAACCAAGCGGTTCTGTGTGGACTATAGGTCACTTAACAACGTGACTGGAGGTGGTGCTTCGCCAGCTGAGGGCTGCCAACTTAAAGCTCAGTCCTAAAAAGTGCCTGTTCTTCTAGTCCGAGGTGCCATTCCTGGGGAACATCGTTGGTAGAGACGGGGTAAAGACCGACCCCCAGAAGGTAGCTGCAGTACAGGACTGGCCTGTCCCCACTTGTGTAGCTGACGTGAAGAGTTTCGTGGGCCTCTGTACCTATTATCGGCGTTTCGTCAAGCAGTTTGCACAAATTGCCTCCCCTCTCCATCAACTCACCAGAAAAGGGGCACGTTTTGAGTGGAGTGCAGCCTGTCAGGTGGCTTTTGATAGCCTGAAGCGAGCCTTAGTTGAGGCCCCTGTACTGCCTTACCCTGATCCAGCTAGTCCCTACCTGTTGGATACTGATGCTAGTGCTGAAGGTCTGGGTGCTGTTTTGTCGCAGGTGAAGGATGGGAAAGAATGTGTGGTGACATATTATAGTGCCAAGTTCACAGATCCTGAGAAAAACTATTGTGACCGAAAAAACTGTTGGCAATAGTGAAAAGCACCAAGCATTTCCATCCTTACCTGTATGGTGCTAAATTCCTATCCGCACGGACCATGCTGCCCTGCAATGGCTAAAGACTCAAGGCACCTGAAGGACAGCTGGCGCGGTGGTTGGGTCGCCTAGAGCAGTACCACTATGAGGTTCAGCATCGGCCCGGTCGCGTCCACAATAATGCTGACAGCCTGAGCCGCCGCCCTTGTGAACCAGAGTGTCAACACTGCTTGAGGAGGGAAGAGCAGGTCGCATGCCGGCAGCTCCAAGTCTGGGGAGACTCTGTAGACGCCGAGGAAAGATTGCGTCAGGTATAGAGGGAGGATGATGACCCAACTCCCCTGATCAAGTGGATGGAGGCATCCCCAGAGCGTCCCGGTTGGCCACAAGTAACAGCAGAGAGCCCTGTCACCAAGCACTTGTGGCAGCAGTGGGCCATGTTGCAACTGGAGAATGGAGTATTACAGCGGCGCAGGGATGATGCTCGTGGATGGCCAAGTTACTGGGTGGTGCTGGTGCCTCGTACCCTGAGGAAAGATCTGTTGCATGAGTTGCATAGTGGGATCACCAGCGGCCACCTGGGTGTGAAAAGAACTCTGACTAGATTAAGGCAACGCTTCTAATGGGTAGGAATGAGGCGAGACGTTCAGGAGCGGTGTCGCACCTGTGAAGTGTATTGTGCCAGAAATGGGCCTGTGAAGAAGAACCGTGCACCCCTCCAGCTGTACCAGGTCGGCGCACCCCTGGAGAGGGTGGCTGTGGACATTGTCGGGCCGTTCCCTGTCACTACACAGGGAAACAGATTTATTTGTGTGGTAATGGACTACTTTACTAAGTGGCCTGAAGCATATGTACTCCCTGATCACGAGGCAGAGACAGTGGCAGAAGCTTTGGTGAGTAACTTCATTACACGCTTCGGAGTGCCTTGCGAACTACACTCTGACCAGGGGCGGGAGTTTGAGTCCGTGGTATTCCAAGAGTGCTGTCGACTGCTGGGGATCAAGAAGACCCGCACCACCGCCTTGAGGCCTCAGTCTGACGGCTTGGTGGAGTGATTCAACAGGACGTTGATCCATGAAGTGGCCAAGTACTGCAGCAGCGGCCAGCGGGACTGGGACGTGAAGTTACCGTCACTGTTGATGGCCTATCGCTCAGCCCAGCATGAGACGACCATCCACACTCCCGCCAAGCTGATATTCGGTAGGGAGCTGCGACTTCCAGTAGATCTAGCAACCGGACGCCCTCCTCAGGAAGTTACGACCCAATATCCAATTATGCCCAGATGTTGCAGGAAAGGCTGAGCACTGCCCACAGATTAGTGCATAACAGCATGAGGACGGCTGGCAACAACATGAAGACACGCTACGACTGGCATTCAAGGGAAGTCAATTATAACGTTGGTGACCACGTGTGGTTACACAACCCTCTTCGCAAGAGGGAACTTTCTCCTAAACTCCAGAGTCCCTGGGAAGGGCCCTATGAGATACTGCAGGTCATGTCTGACGTGACCTACAAAATCTGTCGTGGGCCTCAGAAACAATCACGCGTGGTTCATGCAGACCGTCTGTGGAGATACTATGGCCCAGGATTATTCTCGTGGGGAGGAAGAGAAAGCAAGGACCGAGAACTGGAAGTGAACGAGGAAGAGTAGCAGTGGAACCAGTGGAACCTGTGGCTGTGTTGGAGTGGAAGAGACAGCTGGCGGGTCATTGGTGGATGTGGAGGACACTTCTATTAACGAGACAGAACTGCGTGCCCATTGTGGGGGTGTGTGTGCTCAAAACGACGGAGGCAGCCACCAGAGTGAATAATGTTTTATGAAGTTAATTAAGATGAAATGATGAACAAGTATGTTTAAGTTTGAGTAAAGGAAATAATGTATGCTTTATTTTATGTTAAATATGCGGCCGGGTCGGCCTTTTGTAAGGAGGGGGCATTGCTACACCACCCACTGTTAATGTTTTTGAATTTCGCGGGTGTTTTGGTGTGGAGAGTGGAGTCTTGTCCCGCAGAGAGAGATCGCCCGGGACTCTTGTCTGAGGAAGATGTGCTCGCGAGCCCTCCTCTCGTTTCCCCGCCTAAGACTGTTATTATCGCCTGTGTTTGACGTGCCGCAATTCCTGAGGATTAATAAACCCCTTAGTGAAGTGAATAGTGTTTATTTCGACCTGAAGAGCTCCTAAGAAAGGGACTAGGAGTGCGCCTTCCACCGGACCACTCGGACTTTTAACGGCGGGATGGCTTTAAACATTAATAGCATTATCCTTATTCGCGTGTTCCGTTTAGACTTTCGATGAATATCACCCAATTATGATAAAAGACCGGGAAAAAAACAGACAAAAAGAAAAGAGACTAGAGAAAAAATAGGAAAAATATAACGTAATAATATATTGATAAATAAGATGATACAAGGATCTCAATGATAAACAGGTAATAACATTAAATATTATTCCTATATTATATATGTCATTAAACTGTACAATGCGGAAATTTGAATTCAACTCTGTAGAACTTATTTAAAACACTCATAGGTAAGAAAAATAATATACTATATAGAAAAATAAACGCTATATACATATGTATATCTCTATTTTATATTATTCTTCCCCAAAAACTATATACACTCACAAGGCACTATTATCTTATGCGCAAATAAAAAAATAATAATAAAAATAAAAATAAATAAAAAAAATAAAAAATAAAAATCTACTTGTATATAGTAAAGCCTCTTATCATAAATTTACTGCTCTGTAATATAATTTTTGTGACATAAACTATATAGGTGNCGTTTGCCCACGGCGGGGGTTCTTTGTAATCAGGGTGAGGGGAGTCCATACCCTTGGCAAGCAATGAATCTTTTAGTTGAAAGCGTATCAAACCTCTGGCTGTGTGTGTGAGCCAGGAATTGTCCGCAAACAACTGGTAATCTTGTTGTAGGCGTCTGAGAACTCTTTGTCTTAGAAAGGAGTTTCTGGGTACCTGCAGGGCCTTGGAAAGGAACTGTGCTGCCATTAGATCAATTCTGGTGTCCATGGACGGTAAATCAGCTTCCATGAGGAGGTTGATGACCTTTGTCCACTTAGGTGCACATAGAATTATTCTGGCTGCTTCGTTTTGTATTGTTTCCAGTTTTTCTTTTTATGTTGTACTGGAAGCAATGAGGGCGACAGATGCATAGTCAATAATAGGACGGACAGCATGTACATAGAATGATCTTAGTACTTTGTTCCTGCTCCTATGTGTCTCCCTGTCATGACTTTCATAACTGACAGTCTTTCCTTGGTTCTGTCAAACAGGTATTGGATCTCCTTTTTGAAAGTGAGTGTGTGTCCTATCCATACTCCAAGGTATAGATAGTCCTTCACCCATCCATACCTTGTATAGTGAGTTTTTTGTTTCTGACATTAGTTCTCAGACCCATTGCTTTTGGATTTTGCTGCTATTTTAGACCCGTCCTACAACACTCTTCAGACACCAGGTTCAGACAACGCTGAGCTCTAGTTAGGCAGTGATTGCCAGAGGCTATGACTGTCAAGTCATCTGCATAAGAGATGATCTTGCATTCCTCTGGGAGGTGAATGTCGAGTATGTTGGACATGAGGGTATTAAACAGGGCTGGACTAAGAACCCCTCTCTGAGGAGTTCCATTTTCAAATGGCATGTGCTGTGAGAGGTGGCCTTGAAATCTGACATTTGCTGACCTATTTTTAAAATAGGCAGCTATCCAGGCCAAAAGCCTTCTCCAGGTCAAGGAAGACAACCACGGCAGGCGAGGTGCAGATTGTGCTTAAGAGTGTGGAAATGCTATGAGCAGTGCTCTTACCCCTTGTGAACCCGTAAAGGTGTTCATGAGGGGGACCCGTCTTCCATCGGAGCCTGTTGAGTATAATAGCTGTTTTCCCAGGCAGCTGAGAAGAGAGATGGGACGGTACTTGCCAGGTTCCTTTGGTTTTGGGATGGGAACTATTGTGGCTTGTTTCCAGCTCTGGGGCACCGTGGCTGTTTGCCAGGATTTGTTGATAACCTGCAAGAATGCAAGTTCTCCTGCAAGGCCTAAATGCGAAATGATGGGGTGGCAGATCCCATCAGATCCCGGTGCTGTCCCAGAACTGGATTTGTATGATTTTCTTAGTTCTCTAAGAGAGAACAAGGCTTCCGTTTCATCAGTTTCGAGTGCCTTGTCTCTTATGAGAGCAAGTCTTTCTGGATTTAAGTTTTGTTGTTTTTCTCTCATCATTGGAGGCAGATTGTTAGTGCTGGTTCTGGCTGAGAACTCAAGCACCAATCTGTTAGCCTCTGATTGTGGATCATGATGAGTGCATTTCGGGGCTTGGCAGCTTGTCGCTTGCCTGACCCGTTTCCACAACTCTGTAAGGCTGGTCTGGTGCCCAAAAGTTTGGCACCATTCCAGCCATTTTTCCTGCCTTACTCTGTTGGCAGTTTCCTTGGCATGCACAACAGCCCCTCAACAGGGCCAGATTGTCGGGAGATCTTTGCCGTCGGAAGTTTTTTTCTGCACATATTAACCCTGTGATTGACCTCTTTGATCTCGTCATTATAGTACCAGGCGTCTTTGTGAGTTCTGGACCATGGGCGAGTTTTGTGGATGGTTTGTGAGGCTGCCTGGTTTATGGCCTGGATTAGCCTTGCCTCTAGCACATCCACATATTCCTTATTGTTGTTGGGTTCATTGTCTTTCAGACATTGAGCCAAGCCTTCCTGGAAGGCAAACCAGTTGGCCTTGTCTATTTTCCATTTAGGAATGTGATCTTTGGGCTGGACCTGCATCCATTAGTGTGGTGACTATGCCGTAGTGATCACTAGTAACTGTATCATCGACACACGACCGAATTCTCTCCACCATTGTTGCAGTGGCAAAGGTGAGGTCTAGGACCCCTCCCTTCATATGCGTTGGTTCTTTGGTGTTGAGAGGAGCGATCTCAGGGAACGTCTCAAGCACTTCTGCTATGGGAATGCCTGCCGCGTTCGGCCTTTTGCGGGGATTCAGCATGGATATGTGTGCATTGAAGTCTCCCCTATGATCACTCGGTCTTGTGCTGCAGTAGCACAGACCTGGTTCAGATCTAAGCTCTCACACAGTGGTTTGCTATAAATATTATATATTTTTGTAGGGCCCCCAGGTAGCTGAATCTCAACAGCAGGAGATTCAACACCATCTCCACAGTGCGGTGAGTTGGCTATTAAGAAGCACAGGATAGCTTCTTTTACCAGGGTCATCAGGCCTCTAGCACCATCCAGGTTTGGAGTGGTGAAGGCATTATATCCTGAGAAGCACACAGATCCCATAGTTAGTGTCTCCTGGAGCATGTCGACGTCAATGCTCCTAGCTCGCACTATTGACTGGAGAAAGGAGTTCTTGCTTTTATAGCTACAGATATTCCACTGCAGAATGCTTAGATTGTGTGCCATGATGGTTACTCAGAGTCACTTGCTTCAGCTTCAGATGCCCCAGTGCTGGTGGCATCAGATAAATATAGATCCTCATTGATTGAGGATTATACAACTTCCTCTAAGTGAGACACTCCGGTTAAGGGTCTACCGAGGGGTGTAGAGCCTAGGTTGGAAGTGCCACCTCGGGTCAAGGGATCAGACTTTGGCTGCACAGACTCGGCTTCTGCTGCACAGTTTCAGCCTGTCCTGACAGACTAGCTGGGGTTTCACGTAATGCTTCTCCCAAAGCTAGCCTGCCATCCAAGGATTTAGGGAGGGGAGTGCTGCTCGTTTTCGGTTTGGAGGCTTCTAGCTTCCTTCCCTTCAGAGCTGCAACAGTTTGGGTCATAGCCGTCCTGGCAGCCTGCACTGCTTTCTCCGCCTCCTCACTGGTCCTCCCCAAGGTTGTTGCTACTGCAGAAATTACAGCACCCAACCGGAGAGTCATATCTTTCTCGTCAAAGAAAAGATTATCCTCTACTAGGGGGACTATTGCTGTGGTCTTTGAACCTTTTTCCTATTGGTTCTTTTTTGTGGTTTTGCCACTAGCAAGCTTGGGGAATTCCTCTCTGTTAGAGGTATCCAGTTTTGGCTGTGGGGGCGACTCCTTCCTCTTAGGAGGTCGGGGAGTCTTTTCTCTTTTGTTTTGACCCCAGACGTAGGTGCCTGGGGGCGCTGGGACAAAGTCAGGACGCTTTTTGGCTAGCTCATGCTTTTTAATAACTGCCTGTTTCCTGACAGAGCAAGCCAGGCTCCAAGCATGTTTCTTGGCACAGTTTGAACACTTGGCTGTTGTGTCCTGGCCATCTTGGAGTGCCTTGATACACACTTTTTTTTCATGTGCCTCGCTGCATACACCACATTTGGCTTTGGCCTTGCAGTTGGCTTGGTGATGGCCAAATTTCTGGCACGTAAAGCACCTCAAGGGCTCTGGCACATAAGTCCTGAGATTGTATGAGCCCCAGTTACCCAGATCAAGGGTGGTGATTGGGGCTCCCTTGAGGATAACCAGGACTTGCCTGGTTGGAGACTTCCCTTTGGTCATGCGGGAAGCCTCCACCACTTGTGGGAGAGACGTGATCACCACCTCGAACCCTAGTGGGAAACCAAGTAGCACCATCTTGGTCTTTTTCTCTTGGGAGGTCAGTGGTGAGATACACACTTTTCTCCCGTCTTTTAGCACTTTGATTTCCTGCAGGA